GTGTGGAGTTTAGGGGTTTATAGGGTTTAGGGTTGGGTTTAGGGTTTAGGGTTTACGGTTTTGGCTAATAGAACCCTTACGGGTCTGTACTAGTTGGTGTTCAGGGCATAGCAGAGGGCAGTTGGGGGGTTCTAGGGCTTAAGGTTCGGAGTTTATGGCCTTGGGTTGCAATGATGACAGGCAGCGCAGCCACAGTTCCGGAATTGAGGTAGTTCTGACCCTACTGTTAAGATTCATGGTTTAGAGTTTTGTGGTTTAGGGTTTAGAGTTGATATAGGGGATTTAGAGTTTATCTTGCGTGAACCCTAGGCTCTACAGCAAATGTAGCAAACGAGGCCCGCGCCCCCTACTTCCAAATGAGAAAGGGGCCCTAAACCCAAAACCCTCAATAGCTAAAACTCGAAGCCTTTTGAACCTTAGAGCCTAATCCTGAAACCCTAGACCCGAAACCCCCAAACCTCACACCCAAAGGCCATAAAGCCTGTAAACATATGTTCAACCCTCAACCTTCTAAACCTGAAGCAACCCAAAACCCTAGGCCCTACTTTAAACCGTAAGCCTTCTACCTCCTCAACCCCAAATCCTGGATGTTCCCTCCAAAAACCCTAAACCCTAAACCCCATAACCCTAAACCCTAAACCCTTAACACTGACCCCAAGCCTTCTAACCCCTAGGCCCTGAACCCCCACTTCCAGGATGTTCCCTGGGCCTTCCTGCGACAGTATCTCAACGGCTTCGAGGATGGATTTATCTACGAGCCACGGCCGAATCATGTGGGTTTATAAGGGCCCCAGAGTGTAGGGCCCTTAATAATTAGAATCGGGCTTTTGGGGGGTTTCTTCGTATAATGTAGTTAGTATAATATACCCCCCCAAGACTCTATAATCTGATTGCACTGAACCCTATCTGATGTGTTTCTCCGCGGACGGGTGTGTGGAGCCACGCGCCTGAAGCCGAAGCCGAAGCAACCGCATCTGAACTCTGAACCCTACTACATGCCTCAACTTATATCTTTTGCACCCGAAACCCTGAGCCCCAAATAACCAAACAGAGGGACTTACACTATCCATTGCTGTCAGTTTCAAGTCTTAAGTTGGTCTTGATGATGGTAGGAATAAGAGCAGTTGTACGTGAGCTCGTGTACTCGTGTTACTATTCTCGTGGTCATCTTTCTCTTGGAAAGCTAACCCTGAACCCTACCTGGATCCCAAAAGTATGTAGAATAATAGCCTTCTATAGGTGTTGGGCCATTATTTTACCTACTTTTGGGGGTTTAGGTAGACCCTAAATTTGAACATGACGCCCCAGGTGGCTTCTGGAGCCCGGAAGGGCACGGACCAAGCGAAGCGAGGAAGCCTCCAGCCCTGTTAAAGCCAGGGAGTTTTCTTTGAAGGGTTTAGGCCCATAGGGCATTGGGTTTTAGGGCTTGGCGTTTATGCGCATAAGCCTGGGGGGTCGAGGTTTTGCTTATAGGGTTCTTGCGGGGTTTTAAAGAGACGGGCTTCTTGCAGGTGTAAATTCAGTGGCTTTATGGCATGCATAGAGTTTAGGTGTTTAGGGCAGCATGCATACATGCTTAGTCCCCTGGTCCAGTCTTAAGGCCAAGGTTTTAAAGTTTTAAAGCCTCTCGCTTGAACCCCTAGATCCTAAACCTCAAACCCTCAAAGCACGAACCCACAACCCAAAACGGAAGAGCTTCTGTGGATGGACAAAATCTTGCACCACTCTTCATAAACGTCTTGCAGTGGTTCCCGGTATTAGCATTGGCTGTGAATGGCTATAAACCCTGTTTTATCCAGTGGCCGAAATCTGCTCCGCTCCAGTAGTCCTTGCTGCCAATGTTAGGTAGGGCGTGCGGGGCTTGATGCCTCCATCGTTTCAAGCATGCATGTACAGGCGGTGCAAGACGTCGTCCATCCACTGTGCCACGTAAAGAGCAATACAGGCAAAGTTGGGATTCGGGCTCAATGCCGCCACGAAGCAAGAATTGCTGTCGAGCAGGATCATGCGTAAGCCACAATACGGAGTCCTAAACCCTAAACCCTAAACCGTGTCAGGTCCTCTTGAGGTACTGGGCTGAAGAGGCAGAAAAAACGGTTCTGTGACTTCCAGGCTCGAAGCCCTAAACAAGCCCTATTTAGGGTTTAGGGTTTAGGGTTTAGGGTTTAGGTAAAGCCAGAATGTAAACCTTGTAGGTCCGACGCTGAGCCATTCCCACTAAAGAGGAACCGTGTCCTTTCGGGCAGGAAGGACCGTTAAAATTCGAGTCTTCCCAGGAGGGTCCCATGATGGAGGATGCTTCGTTCTTATTACCGAACAGAGGCCAACAGAAAGGTCAGCTCTTCGTGGTGGTACTTAGTAATTACTTCGCAAAGCCAATCGGTGCTAGAAGCCTGGAACCTTAAACGATTGTATACCGTCCTGTAAAACACTACCAGAAAAGATCCATCCCCAGGTGACTGCAGAGCCGTCTGCGTGCAGCCATGGGACAACCGGACACAGAAAGGTGTGGTTTGTGCCTGAGCTCTATTGGCCTAAGGCTTAAACTCTAAACCCTAAACCTATAAACTGATCGCCATTTCAACCACGATTGAAGTCGGCACCAACATCCCCTTCAACTCGTTGCAACTAAGTCATGGGAAGAAGTAGCACCCCTTGTAGCCTGAAAGCCTATAGAAGCCCCTGGTAGCCGGCTCTAGAGCCCCATGAAAACCCTACTAGGACCCAGAGTGGGCCCTTATTCCCTTTTTTAGGGTTCAGGTTCCCTTATAAGCCCCTTAGAAGCAAAAAGGGCACCCTTTTTATTCCTAGGTTACTCTTGGGTTTAGCCTAGTATCCAGCTCCCAACCCCACTGCAGTGCCTAACGTGCTCGAAATCCCAGTAGAAACCGCCTGCCTAGACCCCCAAAAGTAGGGAAAATCATGGCCCCAAACCGAAAAAAGGCTATTATTCTACATAGGTTTGGGGTCCAGGTGTAGGCAGTCCGAAGCCTGAACATCCTTTCGCTTGTTGTTGTTCCGGGGTTAGGGTTTACTAGGATGCCCAGTAGTACCCTCAGTCCCTTGTTGTATGCCAAAAAGGGAGCCCTTTTTATTCCTAGGTTACTGGGCATCCTAATTTATGGTTTACGGAAAACCAGGGGACAGACTCCTGCTGTTTGTTTTCACCTTTGGCCATCCCTTTCTCTGCCGATGCAGATACTTCCGGCCGTTGTTGGGATAGGTTTCTGGTAAGAGTCTTCTGCTGCTGATAGCTGCTGTAACATAACATACAGATAGAGGCCATACAGAAAAGTAGGGTTCCGGTGCAAGGTGGGCACGCAGGCCAACACTCGATGCAAAGCTTGTCATAAAGCCCAGGCATCAGCTGGTGGTCCAAGAACTACAAGTGCCTGGATTGGTTTCAACAGCTCCTGTATTTGTTCTGATTCAAACTCCTGTCCTTGCATCCTGCTCGACCCTAACTCCTAAATCCTATGTACACTTCTTACACAGGTTGTCAGGCTCGCACAACACTCAAACATGACAGTGGCATCGAGGAGTTAAATACGATGCATGTTTAGAGCATCTCCCGCCCACATCCCAAACTCGAACCTTTAAGCTGCCTTAAACCACCTCAAAAGCAACCCCTGAACCCTGAACCCCAAACCTTTATCTAGCATACCCATATTCCTAAACTTGGGAACTACAGCGGGCTTCTGACCCTAGCGCCTCAATGCGCGCCGCCACCGCTATGGCCGACTGCGCCGCGTCTGAAAGCAGCATGAACTAGGATGCCCAGTAGTACCTTTATGCCCTTTTTGTAGGCCTAGGTTCCTTATTAAGTCAATTCCTAAACTTGGGAACTACAGCGGGCTTCTGACCCTAGCGCCTCAATGCGCGCCGCCACCGCTATGGCCGACTGCGCCTCGTCTGAAAGCAGCATGAACTAGGATGCCCAGTAGTACCCTTATGCCCTTTTTGTAGGCCTAGGTTCCTTATAAAGTTACCCAATACCAAAAAGGGAGCCCTTTTTATTCCTATTCCTAGGCCACTGGGCATCCTAGTCCTAGTGAAGCAGATCATGAGGGTCCTGCAATCTGCAGAGGCCGGTCTGGACGGGGCCAAGCAAATCGTGAGCCAGGGTTTAGAGCTTTAGGGTTCAGGGTTTATGGTTTAGGGTTTCGTAGGGTTTAGGGTTTTGGCCCTGGGAGTAGCGGAACATATCGCAGCCGGAGTTGGCCACCCTGCAGCTTTACTTGTGCTGACATGGGGTGGTTGTGACATCGACCAGTGTCAGCTGCTGCATCAAGTCCAGCACAATCTGGTACCTGATGCGGTTCGCGTCGCGATGCTTTGTACTCGAGGCGAAGGAAAACGAAATGGTATCACTCACGTGGTATTCCAGCCAAAAGCTCAACCAGGGCATCCGACTACATTTTACCCAGCACTCTACGGAGTTGGACGTTTGCTCAGCGACGTCTCAGAGTTTGCGGGGCGTCCAGCTACCCAGCAGCCTACAGAATTTGGCTTTTGGCAACGAGTTCGGCCTGAACCCGTGGCCCAATGTCAAATTCTGCAGGCTGCTGTGTAGCTGGATGCGATGCCTCAAAGCTTGCACAGCAACCCGCAGAGTTTGACGTTTGGCGAGCCGTTTAAGCAGAGATTGGAGGGCATCCAAGTATCCAGCAGCCTGTAGAGTTTGACGTTTGGTGGCCAGCTTGGAGAGCATCCAACTTCTCAGCAGCCTGCAGATCTTGGCGTGTGGCTTTGAGTTCAAGCAGAGCTTGGGGGGCATCCAACTACCTAGCAGCCTGCAGAGTTAGACGTGTTTCCACAAGTTCAACCAGAGCTTGGAGGGCATCCAACTACCCAGCAGTTTGCGAAGTCAGCAGTGATGTGCTGGTTTGGATTCCAATCCCGGGGCAACCGGGTCGAACAGTGCGGCATCGTCTGCGCCTCCTGGTTCTTGAGGAACATCCTACAGCAGCTGTTCGTCGTCTTCAGGGCTGCTGGTATCGATGGCGGCTCTGGTTCCTGACTTCGTTGGATCAAGAACCCGGCGTGTCTATCCCAAAATCGTTTGAACTCGAATTGAAACCCAAGTCGTGTTGCCGCCCACAAACCCGCTGAGTGATGCTTGCTTTTAACCTAAGGGGTTGATTTCTGCGCAAGCCGCTAGCCTCTTTTGTGGACCTGCTCAGCTGCATCTTAAAGTCAGACCCTTACCCTAAACCCTAAACCCTAAACCCTAACCTAAACCCTAAACCACAGCAGCTTTTTGGGGTTTGTGGTTTCGTAGCCCTAGGGGTCCGAGCGCCCAGTGGGCCGTACATTACCTGTATAGGGACGGATGTAGGCTTCAGGTATTGCACGGTTTTAGTGGCTTTGATTTCAAGCCTACCGAGGATCATGGGACTTAGTAACTAGGGTTATGATTAGGGTAACTATACTTATAGCTACTCAAAACCCCTATTAAGGCACTTTCTAAGTCCCATGATCCTCCAAGTACGGTCTGTGAGTTCAGTGCCAGTGCCCGGGTTTAGGGCTTCAAGGTTCGGGATTTGTCATCTAGGACTGTGGGTTCAGGCGTAACTGCAGCACAGAAACGCAGTCAGCAACCCAGCATCAAGGACCCTAACATACTTAGATGTTTCGGATTCCTTCCAAAAGCACTAGGCCCGAAACATAAGAGTTGAGGAAGTGGATTGCAGCTTATCAGCGGCCGGACAGCATCCTGCATCGCTACGCCGTGCACCTCTTCAACTTTACGGCTCCCTGCCTTTGGTTAATGAACCCTAAGGGTCCATGTACTCATATATTACATACATTGGCCTTAAAGTACTTGCTATATAGATACATTGGGGCCAAAGTATATACTGTTTGAGTACATGGACCCTTAGGGGAAGGTTTAGGTTTTGGGGGTGGTTTAGGGTGTTGATGAAGACGTGCTCCGAACTCCACAAAACCTCGAACCTCATGGTTCGAGTACCCTTTGCTTTAGTTAGCACTGGCTCATGTCGTTTTGAAAAGAGGACGTGAAGGTGATGTCATGTGATGCCCATCGTAACTCTTCCCCTGAGGGCCCATGTACCCAAATAGAATATACTTTGGGCCCAATGTACCTATATAAGGACTACATTAAGGCCAATGTATATAGTTAATTAATATTTGGGTACATGGACCCTTAGGGTTCACGCGGCATCAGCCTGTTGAAATTGAGCTATGCAGGTTTCAAAGTTGCGGCACCTTCGGTCCTGACAGGAGAGATCCTAATAATTATATTACAAATTTACTATAAAAATGTGTAATGTGTAGAAGCTTCTCAAACTAATACATCCTAGTAATAACCATAGTACCCATGAATTAAAGTCATAGAAACCAGAATGATCATGATAAGCGGTGTCGTGCTAGCTAGAAACGACCAATGGTGAAAGCTAAGTTCAAGGCAGAAGTGCTGCGATTTATTATCCTTTGAAGCATGTATCGCCCTCAGCGGTTTGGTACATGTGCTACAAGTAGAGGGGCTTTATAGATTCGTTCTCAGGGCGTTCGACTACTCAACTCTCTCCCCCCATCATCGAGAGATCCAGCCTTTGTAGAGCTTTCAAAGAGTGTGTGAATCAGCTTGCCGTTCTTATCAAAATGGGGAACATCCAAAAGTAGTTTCGTGCAGACTGCAACACAGGGATAGGATAGGAGCATTCTGAACATACTAGAGGTAAATAAAGTGTATCACGTATTATCGCACATTTTTCTTGCAGTTTATTTTGGTGCACTTACTGCATGCAGAATAGTCTACACCCCCAAACTCCGTTTCAGGTCAACTCGGAAAACTTGGATCTCGAACCTGGAATGGAGACCAGCTGCCCGGCGTGGCGATGCAATTATGTGCTCCTTTATTTCCCTGCAGGGCGGTGACACCAGTGTCTAGGGTTGAAGGCAAACCGGGACCGTAAGCAACCTACACTGCTAGGGCGGCTAGGGTTCCCGGTCATGATTCCATAATTATTGTCCTGAAAAAAGTGCAGGATTCCGCGTCCACAACTCGTCGTCCCACCACAGTCCCGTGCAATTCGTCTCTCGCAGTCGTGCTCTCGCCACAGCACCCCTAAACCCTAAACCCGAAGCCCTGAGAGAATGTGGCGTTCGAAGTTGTTGTCTCCTCTTGGGGGCTGTAGGGCTAAGACTGCTCGGTTCGGGGTTCATGGTATGTAATATGGGATCTACCACGGCTAAGTTTTCTGCATGTTTTAGGAGAGGTGGGGGTGGGTTATCATGCAGGGCTTCGGAGTCTCGGGAGTTAGGGTCCTAGATGTCGGGGATGAGGGTGTCGCGTTCATAATTTCCTTTTTGAGGTTCGAAGCCTGGGGCGATGTTTTGTTTCAATCTTCATGTTTACCCAGAGGCGCCATAGTAGTGTAGGTTTTGTGGTTCATAGTCATACTTAGAATCTATAAGGTAATCCCAAAAAGGAACTACTACGGAGTCTATGGGTACATGGTACACAGTGGGTTTGCACAAAGCATTCCAGCTCGCACGTTGTTTGTTCCACCAACCAGCCAGCCAATCAATCTGCCCACTGTGTCGAAACGACTGTGGGGGAAGAAAGAGCAATGATCCAATAATGGTATTCCTCAGGCACCCCTCCTGATTTTTTAGTCAGTGTCATCAGTCGCCAGCTTATAATTATGAAGTCGTGCTCCCACCGCAAGTCATCATACTTTGTAGCGCACCGAAGAACTCTTTGATTGCTGAGTCTCTGCTGAGTAGAAGCCTCGATATGCTGAAGTTGTCCTAAACCCTGAGACCTAAACTCTAAACCCTAAACCCTACTAAACCCTAAGCCCTAAACCCTAAACCCTAGTAAACCCTAAGCCCTAAACACTAAAGCCGACTAAACCCTCAGCCCTACACTCTAAACAGCTCCTGGTAATTATCACCTTGCACCCCCGAAGCCTGAGCCACGATGATCATATGGGAGTTTCCGCAAATAGGGGACCCTAATATAATACCCTAAATAGTAGGATCCTTGTTATACGGACCCCAAAATAAGGTTCCCCTAATTTTCGGAAACTCCCATATAGGCCTTGGGTATTACCAGTTCTTGGAGCTACGCAGAGGCCCGTTACATGAGGTTTTGTGTCTTGCCCCCCGAAAGCCCAAACCCTACAGCCTAAACCCTACAGCCTAAACCTCTAAACCCTAAAACCCTAAACCCAAAACCCTAAACCCTAAACTTCTAAACCCTACACGCTAAATCCTGAAGCATCAGAGGCCTGCACGAGCGTCTCGACCAAGTGACGTATCTGGCTCGGACATTCGGCCCTTATGTGCCCTGGACCGGTCTAGGTTCATGGCCTACCCAGAGGGTCCAAGTACTCCCTATGATGGGACTTTTGGGAACCCTAAACCCTAAACCCTAAACCCTAAACCCCTAAACCCTAAACCCTAAACCCTAAACCAAAAACCATAAGAAAGGACTACTTGGACCCCTAGGGGTAGGGTTTAAGGTTCCTTTCACGGGGTCTATAAGGGATCTATAAGGGTGTAGGGTTTAGGGTTCTTGGTGTGTAATGAGGTTTCAGGTTCCTTTCAAGGGATGAAAAAGGGATCTATAAGGGTGTAGGGTTTAGGGATCAGGATCCGGGCTTCGGGTTTAGGCTTTAGGGAAAAAGATTTCAGCTAGCAAAGCCTCCAACCCTCCGCGAATACTCAGTACCCTGCCTTCGGGAGCTGTTGCTGCAGCTGTCTTTGCATTCGAAGTTCCCTAGTGGTACCCTTGCGCCCTTGACGCATGGGTTCCCTGAAAGAACATGAATACCAGGAACACGGCTGCCCTCTTAGCAAAAGGCGACACGGTTCTTTACATGCCAGGGTTCTGGGCAACATGGCAGGTCGAGATTGTCGATCTCATGCCCTACCCAAGCGTCCCAACCTCCCCCAAATCCTAAGCCCATCCCCAAAATCCGACGTTAAAAGAACATGTGACATGTGGGTAGTTGTCAATATTCGGGTCCCTTTTGGGGTAATTACCCTAAATATTAGGTGCCGTACTATATTGGGGACCCAAAAAAGGATCATGATTTTGACAATCGCCCATGCATCATTTAAAGGATCATGGGACTTAGTAGCTAGCGTTATAATTAGGGTAACTATACTTATAACTACTTATAAGCCCAATTAAGGTACTTATAACCTTACTTACTAAGTCCCATGATCCTCCAAGCAAAACCCTAAATCCCCAAACCTTCAGGCGCTAAGCTGCCGCTTCGATCCGATCGTCCACTACCGCAGCATCATCGGTGGTCCGGTGAGAGACAACCTCCGGGACCCCATCCTCGGCTTTGTTTGGGTTTAGGGTTGGGGTTGTTGTTTCGATATATACAGGGATTGTCATATATACGTTTAAAGATAAACAAGTATGTATGTGTGTGTGTGTGTGTACATATATACTTGGAAGGGCAGGGGACTTAGTCAGTAGGATAAGAGTAGAGTTATAAGTACCCTAAGTGGATTTGCCACAATTATAACCGACTTATCTTTGGTTAGCCGCAAACGGCGATGCTGCAGCAAAGCAGAGCCCGTCAGCCGAATACCTTGAACTTTTGACCCTGTATTTACAAAGGCCCCACTCAGATAAACGTCCCCTAATCCTAAGTCATAAACAGATAGATTTAGCCCGCAAGGAAACAAAACAACACCCTGAAGGACTTCGAGACCATTGTTCGACACATTGGCGGCCTGGGAATCGACTATATCGTCTTCAGCTTCTGCCAGGTGTGAGCGCTGTGAACAGTTGTTCTTGCTGGTCGAGTAGCGACCTTCAACCTTTTCCGGGGTATTACGCAGTATACAAGCTCAAAAGGGGAGCATTGCTAGCATTCAGTTCACCTAGAAAAACCCGGACTGTTAGGTCTCATTTTGTGGTGTTGTTCGTTTCTTCTGACATATTAGTCCCGAGCATACAAGGACGAACACATACCCCAAAATCCCTACTGGGCTTGTGCGTTCACATACACTCGCATACATTCGTACCTGTCAGCGTGGTAGTCGAAGCATGAAGAGGCCTACCCCAAGTCCGTGCGGAACATGAAAGCTGCGGGCCTGGAGCTCGTGACTCTGAACCGGGCCGAGCCCCTTGCTTGAAAAGCTTTGCTTATTCTTGTTATAAGGCTTGAGGGTAGGGTTTGGGAGTTTAGGGTTTGGGGATTGGTGGTTAAGGGTTTGGGGTTTAGGGTTTAGGGTCTTGAGCCACCTTTGCTTGAGGGTGGAGGGCAACAAATTACGGGTGCTGAGCTGTTTGGGAACCTGACCGAAGGCGCCTTAAGAAGCTGTCAAAAGGGTGTAGGGTTTCAGCGTTTAAAGTTTTTTTCTGAAGTCAGGTGTTGATTTATGGTAACCAGGACAGTAAAACGCAGGGCCGGTTTGAGGGCTTCGGGCTGTGTAGGTTAACGGTTTCAGGGCTTCGGGGCGTCCAAGGTTTTCGGGGTTTCTGCCGTGGGAGGGCTATGTACACTCGACGGTTTGCATTTCGGGCTCGGGTCTTCACTACATGACAAATGCAAGAACAGCATTGGTGACGGCATCTCAATCATTCTCACCCATTTAGTCATGCTCATCATCATCGCCATCATTATCATCACTTTCATCCTCATCATCGCCGCCATCATCATCGTCATCGTCATTACCAGTAACATGATGATGATGACAATCACCATCACAATCGTCATTGACATCGACTTCGTCACCAGCATTATCATCACCACCAGCGGAAAGCTGCAGCAACAGTAGCAGTAGCAGCAGCAGCACCACCACCACCGCCGCCGCCGCCACCGCCGCCCCACCACCAGCTTGTACCAGCTAGCTTTGATCCCTGTGTTGCCGGGTTCTCCTCGTGCTACTTGTTGAGCTGCAGAAACACAAGCGCACTAAAAGGACTGCGCGGTATGCAAAACCCTCCCTAATCCACGAAGGGTGCAACAGCGACCATGGACCATGTGCCGCATCAGACCTGTCCCGCCAGGGAGTGTGCGGTGTTGGATAAGCCGCTTGGCTGCAGATATTGCAGCTGGGAAAGTTATGTCATATTCAAGCTTGGCCGTTTGGAGGTAACGAACTCAGTATCGACTTTTGGAGATGCGTTGATCTTGTGCTATGGGGCAGTTCCATGTTTTGGACGGCTTGAATGGAAGATGGGATCTGTGTTCTGAAGTGTCCATGTGTAGGTCGCATGTGCTCCGAAGCCACCACCTAGCCGATCGAAGGCTGATGCCCATCGCGCATCGCTATGGTGTCCAGCTGCTTTGCCTGTCATTCGTGGAGTGTGGCCCATTAAGTCCTTGAGGTTCAGGGCTTCGGGATTGGGGCTTTAGTTTCAGTGTCTTAATTAATAATAACCCATGGTTCCTCTAAAGGGTTCCGAAAAGCCTATGAAGCTTGCCATGCCATAGTCATAAGTCCTTCGGAAATTCGTGTTGTGGTTCTACTTGACTTGGAGTGTCAGGGACCAAGCAAGTAGGTCATTTGCGAAGTTGGGTTGGCGACAGGATAGCCGTCATGAAACATCTAAGCGGAGTTTTGATGGTGGTTGCCACACAGCTGGCTCGCAGGAGGGTGCTACGGTGTGTCTTAGGGTGTACTTGGCAAATGGGTTTAAAGGATTTGAGCATAGGTTGGTGTTCCTTGTTGCGCTCATGAGCCTATCGACAGGGCTCTTCTCGGGAAGCTTGTAAGCAAGAACCACTGTGAAGCAGGATGAAAACCTACCAGCGATAAGAAATAACGGTTGGTCGCATCCGCGTCTACCGCCATGGAAACGGCCTAAACCCTGAATATCCCATATAGATCTGAAAGTTCAGCCTTGAAACTTAAAGTCCAAAGTGCTACTTGGAGGTTCATGGGACTTAGCAGGTAAGGGTATCATTCGTTTAACTCCAGTTATAAATAACTATCAAATCTAATATTATAATTATCTTATTCACAGCCCTTGTTACCAAGTCCTATGATCCTTCAAATACGTGAATCCTGCAGCCCCCTCCTTGGAACAGGCTCCGCTGCTGTGGTGACAAGGGCTTGGTCGGATATCCCATCATCAAGAGCCAAGAGGCCTCCCAGACCCTGACCCCTAAACCCTTCTTCAAGGGAGTTTTGTGGGTGTCGTGTGGGCAGCATTGACGTAGCTCGGGGGAATTCGTGGCCTTCTAGAAGAGGCGTTGGCAAAGATCGATCTTACTGGTATGTCTGTGTTGCTTTGGCTTGTGGTCAAGACATCTGGGGTTTGCAAGTCTCGTGCATAAGGGATATGCTGCCTTGCTGGTTTGCCGACCGAGTCTTCGTGGGGTTTACTGTTTAAGTTTGTTTTTAGTTTGTTTTGTTCTTGACGCTTCCTTTCGAATCCATCTACTGAGCCCCTCATCAAAGCAAGCACGATCCTGAAGATCCTATGAGGAGCCTGGGACTTAGTAAGCAAAGTGTTATACATACCCTAATTGGGAAAAATTCAAGTAATTAACGGAAACTGTGTGTACCTAGTATGTTCATATCCCTGTATAACCCTAACTACCTCGTTTACTCGTTTATATACCTATATAACTCTAGCTACTAAGCCCCCCTGATCCTTTAAGTCAGCCGTACGTTGTAGGCCCATGGAAAGGTCCAGTAGGCCGCACGAGCGTTTGTCGGCTTTCAAGCATGTTCATTCCTACGTCGACCTAAACCCTAAACCCTAAACCCTAATTAAACCCTAACTTAACCCTCCGGCTCTCCAAACTCACGGTCAAGAGTCTGTGAAAGCCAAGCCCTCCCACAAAAAGCCCAAAACCCTACCCCTGAACCCAAGCCGTTCTAGGCAGCACCATGTGCAGCAAGCCGCGAGCACTAAACCCTAAAGTGTCAGGAAGCCTTTGCCTCACGAGCCTTCGTAGAAAAGGAGCTCAAAACAAGTTAGGATTTAGGGGTTAGGGGTTAGGGTTTAGTGTCAGGAAGCCTTGGTCAGTGTGGCGAAAAGGGAAATCCCGCAGCACACAAACATCCCAGCGGCTCAGGCAGCAGAGGTTCAAAGCGGTTTGAGGTTAACTTGCATATGCGTATAATATATATATATATATATATAGATACACACACATATACTACTACTCGTGTAGACACACGTATACATATAGAAATATTTGCCATAAATAAAAGAATAAATAAAGAATAAATAGATATAAATATATATATATATATATATATATATGTGTATATATATATATATATATATATAGGTATTGAGACAGAGGGCTTTTGCAGGCTTTTGATTGTTGAGTCAGGGCTTTCGAGTGCGAGCATGGAGTTGAGAGTCTCTGTTTCAGGCTTCGGCTCTGGGTTTCCATTGGGTACTTGGAGGGTCGGGGGACTTAGTAACTATAAGGGGTTCCTTAAGGGCCCCTTTAAAGGGATCTATAGGGAGTCTATAAGGGCTAGGGTTTAGGGTTTAGAGTGCTTGGAGGGTCGGGGGACTTAGTAACTGGTTATTTTAGGGACTTATAAGCACCATAACACCAATTAGGGTCCCTTTTAGGATACAGTGAAAACCCTGTATATATAAGAACCCCGTTCGGCGAGAGTAGGGTACCCTAAGGTTCTTAATTTCCATTACATGTGATTTTGCCGTTCGAGCAGCTTTAACCACGTTCTTATCCGGACCGAGGTCTCGGGAAATTTTACTTTTGGATTCTAAATTTCCTTGGGGGTGGATTGGCCATGGGGGGTCTGGAAAATTTAGTTTTCAATTCTAAATTTCCACAGCTCCTCGAAAGGACTCAGGGCAGAGGGCATGGCCAGAGACCCCCCGAAAATTTACTTTTGGATTCTAAATTTCCGTGGGGGTGGATGGGCCATGGGGGTCTGGAAAATTTAGTTCTCAATTCTAAATTTCCACAGCTCCTCGAAAGGACTCAGGGCAGAGGGCATGGCCAGAGACCCCCGGAAAATTTACTTTTGGATTCTAAATTTCAGTGGGGGCGGATGGGCCATGGGTGTGGCTTGGGCCGGGACCAGGACGCTGGTGGGAAAATTTAGATTTCAATTCTAAATTTCCACAGTTTGGTGGCAAGGGGCTCTGTTTCAGTGGAATACGAGCTGCGGGATGACACCCCCGGGGATCGAAACAGGGCCAAACCCCTGCAGGGCCTATGCCAAACCACTGCGCTGTGGGGGAGCTGCTTTGCCTTTTGTTTCCACCCCACCTCTGGGCGATGGTGTTTTTTGTGGTTTGGAGAACGCGGAAATTTACTTTCGGATTCTAAATTTCCTGACGCCGTTTGTGTGGGTCAGAGGCCACAGGGCCAGGAAGGGGGTGGTGTAGAAAATTTAGATTCCAATTCTAAATTTCCACGTTTTGGTGGCAAGGGGCTTTGTTTCGGTGGAATGCAAGCTGTGGGGGGCCATCGGGAGGAAGGGCTGGAAATTTACTTTTGGATTCTAAATTTCCTCGGTGTGGGTCGGAGCCTTGGGCCTGTGGGAGGCTGTGGAAAATTTAGATTTCAATTCTAAATTTCCACGGTTTGGTGGTATGCGAGCTGCCGGTGCTGGTCAGTGTTCCGTTGTGTTGGGAGGAAGGGCTGGAAGTTTACTTTTGGATTCTAAATTTCCTGATGCCGTCGAACCAGGGCCAAGAGGGTTGGGACGGAAAACGGCTTGGCAGCAGCAGCAAGACACCGGCGGGGATTGAAACACCGAGGTTGCGGGTGTGGGAGAGTCTTAGGGTAGCCTACTCTCGCCGAACAGTGTAGAGAAGGTAAGATGCATACCCAGCACGGAAAGCAAACATTGTGCATCATCGCTGGATCACTGCGGCATCAGCATGTGGCATGATTGCAGTTGCCCATCGATAATACAATCACCATGTTTAAGCACAAGATTTCTTGATGTGGAGGGTTGGGAAATTTAGTTTTCGATTCTAAATTTCCTTGGTGAGGGAAAGCACCCAAAAAATTAAGAACCTGACCCGAAAACTAGGGTACCCTAAGGTTCTTAATATTGAGGCAACTTGAATCTGGTGAATTCCGCCTTGGGTAGGGGCTCAGGTTCTTAAACAGTGGGTTCTTATACAGTATTTTCACTGTACTTATAACTCTACTTACTACCTACTTACTAAGTCCCCCGACCCTCCAAGTACTGCACCCACTCAGTAACAGTTGGATAAGATTTCATGACATAGATATATTCGGACCTTAAGAGTAGCGCCATTATAAACTGTTACCGTATGGGGGCAGTACCCAAGGTTTCCAGTTTTACTTCTGAACAGATCCCGCCTAGAATCCAAAAGCTCGAGACACAAACTTTTGCTTTAGCTAGGAACACAAACCCTCAACCGTGAAGGTCCACGGGATGGTTGCTTGCTCAGGCAGCTTTCGGGGTTTAAAGAGCCTAGGACGTGGTGGTTAGGGCATGTAGTGTTTTAGGATTTATAGAGGTTAAGGGTGTGTTTCTACGGTGTATGCAGTTTATGCAAGGTTTCACAAGGATAGACTGACCTACTCAGTCAGGAACAGGTTCAAGCAGGCCAAGGGGATTGATTGATTGGTCATGTAAGGGGGTTCTGGCTGCCTAAACCCTAAACCCTAATCTTGGCCGAAGCATTGAAGCATTCCACTATGGGCTATTAGACCTTATGGGTACCTTAATCTACCCTTAATAGGGTCCTAATAGGGATCTTTAGGGTCTAATAGCCCATAGTGGTTTCGACTTGTCCGAGTCGACAGCACTATTATACCCAGATGCTGCAACCCTGGAGCCCACTACTGGAGGCTCTGGCCAGAGGGGCTTCTAATAATTGCCTATACTAGTTGGGGCTCCTTAATGATACACAAAAAAATACCCCAAAATCCTATTCTAACTATTAAGCCCCAGGAAATGTACCCCCAACACCCTGTTCTAATTATTAAGGCCCCTACATTACTCGCAAGAACCAACCTTGAGGGGCCAAGCACCGACAACGGGAGACCTAGAGGTTCGCGATACTGACTACTTGGAGGGTCGGGGAACTTAGTAACTATAAGGGGTTCCTTAAGGGCCCCTTTAAAGGGATCTATAGGGAGTCTATAGGGGCTAGGGTTTAGGGTTTAGAGTGCTTGGAGGGTCGGGGGACTTAGTAACTGGTTATCTTAGGGACTTATAAGTACCATAACCCCAATTAGGGTCCCTTTTCGGGTACTTATAAGTCTACCTACTACCTACTTACTAAGTCCCCGACCCTCCAAATACCCAGGGACTCCAATACCCCTAAATTAAGGAATACACCTTAACCTAGAGTAGGACCCCTAATATGATTTAAGGAACATTCCTTAATAAAGGGATATTGGAGTCTCTGGGTACCTACATAAAAAAACAACTTGGGCACTTGGTCCCTCACCCCAAAATCCAAACCCTAAATTCCTAAGGTCATCGGACAGTCTCGCTGTGTGGATGCAAAGCTGGCGGACCGGATCGCCAGGGAGACTCGGTACAAACCACTACACTTTGAACGACGGTGGGCTTAGAGCTCGTTCCCTAAGCCTTACATCCTGAAACTCGGTCGGCCAGAGCTCTAAAGTGCCCCGTTCCAGACATGCGACTCTTCATCGGGTGTTTGCGTTGCACAATGCGTCCATGCATGTATAGGCGCATGTATGCACGTATGTATGTAGGTATGTATGCATACATGAATGCATGCAGGGATGCAGGGGTGCGTGGATGGATGGATGGACGGATGGATGGATGGATGGATGGACGGAGGGAGGGAGGGATGTACATACGTACATAGTCATGTATAAAAGGTAGTGTAGTACACTGCAGTGTAGTAGTGTGGTGTCATGCAACGGGCATTTGTATTTGTGTGCATAGAATGTAAGTTAACGAAATGAAGGTGGTGTAATGTAAAGCAATCTATATGGCCAGTTGATACTGGTGCTGTATTAGCATGGTTGTGCCTTGGATCAGGTTTCTACATTCCAGTAACTTTAGGGTTTAGGGCTTAAACCTGGTTTAAACCCTACCTGTAGCCGAAAAAATCTACTTTTTTAGGGTTCCTGATTATGGTTTCTGTTTAGAGTTCCTTAAAAAAGGTAGGTCTTTTCGGCTACAGGTAAACCTTAAACCCTAAACCCTAAGATACTTACTCACTTGTGAACGACATCAATCCGTTGGTATCAGTGCGACCGTGGGGCTTGAGCTCGGGCTTGACTCATTCTTTTGGTTTAGGCTTCAGGACCCTAAACCCTAAACCCTAAACCCTAAGGGTTTAGGGGTTAGGGTTTCTGGCCTCGGCCTTTGGGATTTAGATGCCTGGATGGTTGTCGAAAGCGCTGAAATCGTGGTTCATGTGGGTGGTTGTCAAAATTAGGGTCCCTTTTTGGGTCCCTATTATAATACGGCACCTAATATTTAGACTACCCAAAAAGGGACCATAATTTTGACAACTACCCATGTGCCTGCAGACTCCAAGCCCGAAATCTCAGACCCTCGTCCCAGAGAGCCCAATACCCCTTAAATAAGGAATATGGCTTAAATCCTAATATTAATCCCACTTTTTTAAAGTTATATTCCTAATATGACTCCCCTGATAATTTAAGGTCTATTCCTTAATTAAGGGGCATTGGGCTCTCTGGGTCCTTGTCCTTGAAGTAAGCCCTGTTTTCCCTGAGTCCTGCGGTCCGAGGAGAAGGGCCTCAATGTCTTCCTTTCTCAGGCCATCTTTCCTGGGTCGCATTCGGAGTGAAGAGTTTGAGGATTTACGGCCTCAACAGCTTGATGATCTCTTTGTTGAGTATCTAAGTTTCAGGGAGTTTGAGGGCCAGGGTCCAGCATTTAGTCGAGCGAAGAAGGGCTCAGGGTTGAGGATCTACAGTCTAAGCTTGAGAAGGCGTGTGTTGCGTTCGGCTTGCAGATGTGGTTGAAATACCCCCAGTCAGTGTTCTGTCTCTCTAACCTCTCTTTTTAATCGTCACACCAATGAAATTCCACAAGTTTTTGGCGGAGGTTCTAGTGAAGTGCTTGCTGAATGAAGTCAAGTATTAGTCGTATGTTGCGGTTCGTGTCTGGGTTCGTATTTGGCTTAGTGTTCGGTTTCGCGACCCGTCCGTGGTCTCCAAATTTAAAAGGGGGTTTCCGAAAACAAGGGACCCTAATAGACTAATCGAGTACCGTAAATGGTAGGACCCTTATTATAAGGACCCCAACTCGCAAATACTAAACCTTCACAGCTGCTCCGACCCAGATCCTGGAAGACTGAACGGTGAAGTAAGCAGACCCGATACAACCTTAAAGGAAGGAGGCGCTCCATCGGATACATACATACATTTCCGACTACCACTACCACTACTGCTACTGCTACTACTACTACTTCTACTACTTCTACTACTACTGATACTACTGATACTACTGATACTACTGATACTAGTAACTACCACTACTACTACTACTACTACTACTACTACTACTACTACTACTACTACTACTACTACTACTACTACTACTACTACTACTACTGCTACAATGCAAGATATGTAGTAATTACGTCTCAGAATATCATGTAGATATGCAAATTCCGGGCAGTTTTTTTACGTTACTGCATACACTTATATACAGGGTTTAGTGTTTAGGGTAGCTGGAGCCTTTCAGCCCAAAACCCTAAACCCTAAACTTCACCTCTCAACCCCTGCCATGCGAGGCCAAGGACTTGCGGCAGCGGAAAGCCTGCGAATGCACTCGCTCGACGGACCCGGCGGGTTCAAGTGCCAACAGGGTTCAATATAGGGGTTAAAATCATTACCTGTGCTATTCTGGGGGTTCCTTATTATGGTTATAGTATAGTGGGCCCCAAAACCCTATTCTATATATTAAGGCCTCTTTCTTAGGTTTTTGAGGGCTTCGAAAACATATTGCTTAGGCTATTCATCTTAAGGTTTCCCCGGAGTAGTGGGCTTAGTGCTAACCATAAACTTCGCCAGCTGTTAATCTACCTGATCGCTATCCGACCTAGGGTTTAGAGTTTAGGCCAAGCGATTTGGGATACTGAACCCCCTAAACCCTAAACCCTAAACCCCAATACCCAATTACCACAAACCCGGACCGATAAGTTTGAGGCACATGGCCTTTATCTAGCCTTACATGTTACACGGTCTTGCGGAGTAGCGGAGTGTTGCAAAGTCACGAATTCCATATTCCAACTTGCACAGTACTATGGGGAAGAGGGTTGGGGGACTGGGCAGAGTGGGCCAATCCTGCATGTACGGTTTAGGGAGGTTTAGAGTTTTTTCGGATTAGGGTTTAAGACATTTTAAGTTTAGGGCGTAAGGTTAAAGGGTTTGTGGTTTAGGGTGTTATGGGTTGAGGGTTTAGGGCCTAGGGTTCTACAATGGTTCTATAAAGGTTCGCCAACAAGGATTTTGGGCTTGAAGGAAGAGGTCTGAGCTACGAGCAATAATTTCGCCCTGTATAAGGTTTTACAAGCTTGCAAAGGGCTTTACAGGTTTTACCAGAGTTTGGGAATAGTTAGTAGCGCTGTGCCCACCATTATGACTATGTTATATTTATATACTCAAAAGCCTTGTTCTGACCATCACGGCCGAGGAGACCCATGGGTGTCGCAAAAGTAGCTGCGGGTTGCCTCTAACCCCAAGGGTCCAAGTACCCAATGAATAATCACATACTCTCCAAAATCCTAACCTACATAATTACTAACCTAAAACCGAGTACCTAATTCTTGGGTCCTTTGGACCCTTGGGGTAAATACTTCGAACCCTTAGAATCCTGTAACCCCGATCTCGTACATCATCCAAATCCCAAAGCCAGCCTTCAAAACCGGAAACTACGACCAGGAATACTCCCTAATTACACCTTGAAGCCTAATCCGTAGAGGAGGCAGTAATACATGCTGTTACCCCAAAAATGCCTTCCACATCTTTTCAATTGCTACGAAAGCACTGGACAAACCCTATGAGATGTAGCCCAAAAACCGATGAACCATAGCCAAAACCGCAAGGAACCTTATAACATGTATTCACAGCGCAAAAAACCCTAAGACATGTAGCAGCTGGAGCCGAAGAAACGCACTATTACATGTAGCCAAAACCGGAACCCTAAACCCTAAACCCCGCTGTCAGCCCTGACCTTGTTTGGAAGTGCAGGACATCGGCCAGTACACGTTCCAATGCCCACACGGCTGCTTGCGGCTCTGTCGGAGATTTTGGGCCCCACCTAAGCCTTAAAGGTTGGAGTTCATGGTTGTAGGGTTTAGGGGAACAAAACCCTACCTAAGCCACCCAAGAATCGGTGCAACAATGGCCCTATAACAGGCTTCTTCTTCTCAATACTTCTGGGGTTTAGGTTGTGGTTGCTTGTTTGAGGTTCTCAGCGAGCCTAAACCCTCAAACGTTAAGGCATAGACCCTGAACCGCAAACGAAAATTATGTCGCTCTTAACCTGTGGATGCTGCTACAGCCCACGCAGCCGAAACCCTGAACCCTCGTAGCCGTACATCTGCCAAACTATCCCCAGCCCCAAACTCTAAACTGCCCTAAACCCCAAACCCCGCCGGAACCCCAAAAACCCAAAGTTGCGGAGACCCGAAACTGGGTTCTTGTTAAAGGAATTAATTCAAATTGCCACAACAAGAAATATACCCTTTCCTGTAGATCCCTGCTTAAATTACATTCCTTAAACCCCAAACCCCAAACCCCGAAAGACCGTAATATGATGGACCCCTATTATGGTAACTTCAACCTTAAACTTTAAACCCTTAAAAGGGCCTTACAGCTCCCTCAAAGGAACCTTGTCTCCGCAGAAAAGCTCGCCTCAGGTACCGCTAGGCCAATCCTACAGCCCAAAACCTTGAACCCTGAACCCAAAAGCCAATGTTGCGGAGACCCAAAAGCCCACCTCAGGTATTAATATCTTAACCCTCAACACCCTAGACCCTAGAACCCTAATGTAGATCCTTATGATGGTACCTTCAATTAGATAATTACCCTAATCCCAAAATTCGAAACCAAGCTCACCCCCTCAGGTACTGCTACGCCAATCCTACAAGTTCCTTACCCCTCAAACCCTGAAAGCCTACAGCCCTAAAGCCCTGAAACCCTGAACCAAGCTCACCCCCTCAGGTACTGCTATGCCAATCCGATGAAAAAGTCCTCACGGGCATCCGCCCCTCCTCCACAGGCTGCAATGCTTGGTTTTCCCAGAGAGTCCAGGGCTTGAGGCGTTTAGGGTTTTGGGGTTTGGGGCTTGAGGCGTTTAGGGTTTTGGGGTTTGGGGCTTGAGGCGTTTAGGGTTTTGGGGTTTGGGGCTTGAGGCGTTTAGGGTTTTGGGGTTTGGGGCTTGAGGCGTTTAGGGTTTTGGGGTTTGGGGCTTGAGGCGTTTAGGGTTTTGGGGTTTGGGGCTTGAGGTGTTTAGGGTTTGGGGATTTAGGCGTTTAGGGTTTGGGGGTTTGGGGGTGTAGGGGTTTGGGGGGTGCGGGGTTTAGGGGTCCATATACACTTCCATTATGGAATTAGTGCCCTCGAAACCATTATAGGGATGGTCTGTTGGTGCCTAATCCCATAATGGTAGTGTACATGGGTCCTCCGTGTTTTCAGCCAGACACAAGAACTCGAACGATTTGGGGTGTACAGGGTTCCGGAATTTAGCGGTTTCGGGTGTACTGGTTTAGGGTCTAGGGTTCAGGGCTTAGGGTTTAGGGTTTACATCAGGGTTTAGAGTTTAGGCCGAGAGGGTTTCGGATTTAGCACTTGGTTAGTAGTTTTTAGAGCGTGTCTGGCATTGGGCTACTAGTGGGCTTCAGACCCCTGGGGGTCCAAGACCCTGACAATCATACACTGTACTTGCTATCCCAAGACCACTAATGTAGCAACCTGTTTAAGAATACCCTAAGCCCTACAACACCCGAATACTCGGATTCATAAAAAAATGTAACCCTAAACCCTAAACTCTCCACCCTAGACGCTCAACCCTGAATTCTAAACCCTAAACCCTAAACCGGAATAGGGTTTTGTGGTATATTTCAGTAATATGATAATAAGGAACCCAAATAGGTAGTTATTGAGGCCCCTACAGTAAACGCCTGCATGTCAAGGCCACAAAGCTGCTGTTCAGGATATGTTTGGGTGTCATTTGAGGGCCTCATTTGGGTTTAGCGTTGCGGGCCCTAAACCCAAAACCCGTCATGCCCTGAACCCCAGCATGTTAAGTCGAGACCACACCTGATAGGTCACGGACCAAGCCCCAATCGCCATGAACGCCATGCCTCCGTGTCCTGGACTGGTCTTCGGGTCTCAATGCTCCGCTTAGTAGGTGTCTCTCTGGTAAGAATGATAGTTTTATAGGGTTTAAGGCAATTTTGGGTGTCTGGAACTTAGTTTCATAGGGTTCAAGGCAAAGTTGGGGTTTGGAACTTAGTTTTATAGGGTTTAAGGCAAATGTTGGGGTTTGGAACTTTGATTTTCCAGGTTCAGGGTGTTAGTTGTCCATGGTTTGGGGCTTAGAGTAGTTGTGTCAGGGCGTATAATCTCCGGAGACTTTCCCGAAACCCTAAAACCCCAGTGGGCTAAAACCCCAGTCCCTTAGCCCTTAGACCCTAAACCCTATTACTAGAACCCACTCCAAGCACTGAGAGGTAACACCCGCTTGACTCATGCAGAAAAGGAGTGGGATCCGCCTCACGCCATGCGGAATGGCTTGTGCTATGCGCATCACACACAACCACACCACCTGCTAAAA